GCTTATGCTCCCAATACTTCTGTTAGTCTTAAAGGTGCCACAGGACCAGAAATGGTGATTTTAGTCACTGCCACTATAAAAAAGTAAGAGATGGCACAATTAAACTACATTCGTTTTTCAATACGTTGCCAAAAAACGCGCACACATTATCACAAGATCTCACATCCAAGTTGTTTTGTGCATCCCAGATACTAGAAATTTTGGAATGAGGGCAGCTAGATGCCACCATGGTTACAGGGTCCCAGCTATGTCAATTTAGTGTAGAGGTGAGAGAATTAGAGACTGAATTCACTGCTAAGATAATATCTGAATTGGTCCACCATGTCTGTCAGGCTCTATCATGAGTTCCTAGCTGTAAAGTTTCAGGTGCCTTCTAAGGTAAAGTAAACAGGGACAGTGAATTCAGAAATAAGGATACCTAGTTAAGGTATAAAAAGGCTCAATCTTAACCTTGATCACTAAAATCAATGTGGCCAAGTCCTGGATATTTATAAGCATGTAAGTAGAGCTCCACAGCTTGGTGTGTTAAATCAATGGAATGTCTACACTGTGTATGCACAGTATTCAAATGTTTAGTCCTTCGCTTCATTCTTTGTAATCAGAATACATTTTCATACATCAGAATATATTTGTCCCCATTTAAGATGCAGTTGATGGACGTTTTAAATTAAGAAGCTGTTTGAGTTCTAGGGCACAAAATAATACATCTGAAAAGTCTCTTTGGTACTAGACATTTTTTCATATTCAGATAATCCTAAAAAGCAGCCACACAATCTTTCAAAATTTCCCCAAAATATTAATCACTGGGCTGAGAACAAGCATGAGAAACTTCATCCTAAAGGTTAAATTTTTCACTCATGTTATAAGTGCCTGAAAACAAGGGTTTATAATGAAAGTGACTCTTCAGCCATAATTATGGGGTTCCTAACAGACACTATAATTTACAGTCTTCTACACCATTAATTCCTTCTTTTGGAGACTGAAATAGATTCTTCGAAAAAAGCAAACATCCAGAATGTACTGTTTGCATTTATGCCACTGTGCACACACTGTGCAGCAAGGAAAGAGGTGGCAACAACTTTTTTCAGTCATATACTGTGAAGTTAACCAATTTCTATTCCATGCTAGAAGAGAGTAAATAAGATTTTCATCCTGCACTACCACTCTGTTATTCCTGGTTTAAGACACCCATGTACTCAAAAGGGTATTTAAACACTCCTCAAGTTGCACATATGCCAGCATTTATGCAGTACTTTGATTATTTCTTGATTATTAAGGAGCCAAGCCCACACACCCACTGTATCAGAAGCTTCAGACAGATTTATTTAAAGTTTTATAGGTAAAATATTTTTGTCCAGGTCCTTTATTTTTTCCTCTCACTTTCCAAACACCATTCAAATTAATAGGAATTCTCAATCTAAAAAAGAAAGGTTAAAATCTGTACTGGAATGCCCTGTTTCTAGATATGACTATACTGAATCCTGTGATGTCAGGCGCTGAGCTTTGCTTAAGTTAGCTGTTCTAATAGACAAGACGGGAATATCACCATTGATATTCCCAAAGGATTAATTGGAACAAACTTTATGCTGAATTTAAAAACACATTTGGATTTTCAGATAGATGCATACATCAAGAAAGGCCAACATTACCACATACAAAACAAGAGAGACCAGGAGGCTAATCAGTTTCTTTATATAATGCAGTAACAAAGCCATATGCCAATTTAGTCATCTATTGTAAGAAAAGTTCTTTATTTTAAAATCAGTTTACTCATCACTATTTATAATCTTGCATTCTCTCTTGGCCTCAACAAAGTCAAATGAAGTCTGCTTCATTTTCAGGTTCTTACACTACAGAGAAAAGGTTTATGTAACTGCTTCTTTGGAATATTAAAATTGTAAAAACATTTTTATTGGTCTTGTTTTATAAAATCTTGTTTTAACAGCATTTAAATTGTGAGCCAACTTTAAATTGACTACAAAACAACTTGTCTTGTCCTACTCCTTAAATACTAGTATTTGTTTGCTTTGAGTCTTCTAGAAACTCACTTGCCAACTTCAACCTATTACTGTACACATTGATTTTAGTAGCTGTCCTAGTTTTGATGTATTAGAGATATACTCATTTGGTACTTCCAAGCCAGTGGTCTCCAAATTGATAATGTAGGATCTAGGCACGGAAGCCCAATAAAGCAAGATCAGTAAGTTATAAATATTGGTAGTTTCAATCAGGGGGGGACCTATTTAAATCAACACAAAAATGGCCATACCAGATCAGATCAATGGTCCACCTAGCCCAGTATCCTGTCTTCCAACAGGGGCCAAAGGCAGATGCTTCACAGGGAATGAACAGAACAGGGCAATCATCAAGTGATCATCCCCTGTCATCCAGTCCCAGCATCTGGCATTCAGAGGCTTAGGGCTGGTCTACACTTACCCCCCAAATCGAAGTAAGGTACGCAAATTCAGCTACGTGAATAACGTAGCTGAATTCGACATACCTTACTTCGACCTTACCGCGGTTCAGACGCGGTCCACACGCGGCAGGCAGGCTCCCCGTCGACTTTGCGGTACTCCTCTCGCTGAGCTGGAGTACCGCAGTCGACGGGGATCACTTCCTGGTTCGATTTATCGCATCCAGACCAGACGCGATAAATCGAACTCAGAACTTCGATCCGCAGCCGTCGAACTAACCGGTAAGTGTAGACTAGCCCTTAGGGAAATCTAGACCATGTGATTTAAATCAGGAAGCAGGAAACCTAGATTTAAGCCATCAATTTTAATCGTGTTTTGCATTTATATATTAGTTATTTTCCTAAGGAAATACATTCTCTTTGGTTGCTAACCATTAAAATTCGCTGATTTGCAACTAAATATAGCCTTTACATTAAATTTGGTGCTTCTTTTTGCTAACCAGGAGGATACACTACATTTACACACATTTATTGAAATTATAGAGTTCACCTTTTTTTACTAGATTAAAAAAGTTAACTTGTGAATTTTGTCAAGCTCTATTTGGATGGAAATTCAAATTCAATTAAAAATGCATTTTTTTAACAAACTAGAACTACCTTAAATGTGCTGGACACAAGAAAAAAGTTTATCAAAACATGAGTTGTTAGACAAAGGAAGCTGTAATTATTGAATTGAACTGATTGTTTCTGGTCACCCTGTCCTTCAAGATTTTAGAACTAGAAGATCTCATACTTTCATACCGAATTTGTATTTATAGATTGGAAGAGAAAAAAAAAAAACCTTGTTTTTGAAACTCCCAACTGGCTTCTTAACTTTGAATATGCTAGTCACTGATCTGAACTAGCTGAATAAATTTGAAATAAAAAAAATTCTCTGCACGCTTGCTGGTTTCTCTGCTCAGCAAAAGCTGGTTTAGCACTTTAACAAACTCCGGTTCCAGGGGCTCAGCTAGTGATTTCAACTAGTTCAGTGGTTTGACTTTCTTTAAAAACTTGGCAGCAAATACATACTGCTTAATACTACTTTTTGTATTTAATTTAAATGATTTTAATAGTTATTTGTAACAGGTTTAGGCCTTAACACATTATCAATTTCTAATATAATTTTAAACATATTAAAAAAATAAACCTGTATTAAATTTAAATAAAGAAATCCAATATCTATTTTTTTAAAAAAGATTGTACAAAAAGAGTATTTTATCCACCCTGGCTCCGATCAGACAACAGAAATGCACTGCCTCACTTGAAAGATTAAAATAAATTAGGACACCAATACAGTAGATTCCGCTTAATAGCAACCTGGGTATTAACAAGTTCAGGTTAATAGCAACATCCCAGTGATTTCAATGTTAACGGGATTCAGGTATTGGCAATGACATGCTGCTTATTAAGAATGTTTTTTGGAAGAAAGGCCCCACTGCAGGCAGCTTTGCAAGGCTGCAACCAGGGAAGAAGTTTTGGGCTATGCCTTCCCTGGCTGCAGTCTTGTAGTCCTGCCTGTGGCTGGTGCTCCATATGTTCCAGTGCTTCCTTTTGGGGCTGCAGCCCACAAACTTGGGGCCACATGCAGGAGGTCTGGGGCTACATGCTGGGAAGGGAGGCTGTGGGCATGGTACCTCTCCCTGCACCTTCCAGACTGCGCCCTACCGGGGCTGCCCACGGAATGCAGTGCTGGGTGTGCTGAGCCCGAACCCCCAGAAAGCAAATGGAGAGGTACTGTGCAGCTGTGGGCCCCTACCACCTCTGCTACCTATAGAAAACCCCTGCATCCAGGCAGCAGTCCCCTTCCCCACAGGCAGGTTTGCATCAGGGAAGACACATCCTAGTGCTTCCTTCCCTGGCTGTAGTCTCAAAAACTTGCCTTTCACTTATTGGCAACTGCCCGATAATGGCAACTTTTTGCTGGTAACTGAGGCCGGTTGCTAATCAGCAGAATCTACTGTAACTTTCAAACACCCACCTCAATGATTAAAGGGTCAGAAAATTAATCTGAAGGCAATGAGTGGTGCAAGTTATATAGCAAGAAAACACTGAGAAGCAAGACTATGTAGAAACCCTGGTAAATTATGCCTATAGAAACATTTAGTAAACTTCATAGGGAAACATCAGTTAAACCATACTCTAATTACCCTGTCAACTGGGGAAGTTGATGCTTAGGAGGAGAGAAGTTAGAAATTAAGAACATTAATTAAACTCAACTCTGGATCTTATGCAAGGATGTGATATTTAGAAACATGCAGCCCTGCACCAGTAGGAACCTCTGGACATCCTTACCTTAACATTTCCTTACCCTAGCCCTGGGCAAGGCTAGTAGTCAGAGAAATCAGAATCCCTAAAATTGTTACAGAAGGAATGTCAGTGTTCTGCTGATGCAGGGTTTTTTTTTCTGGTAAAAACAGAAGAACATAAAACCACTAACAGCTGAATCTGAAGGAACATCTGATTACTTTGCTGTGGCATCATGTTACAGATGCTAGATTCACAAGTATGAAACTAAGAAATATAACCAGTTTCAGTTTATCTCCATGGTGTTGGGATTTATATTTCCCTTCCATTCTCCAATAGGTATTTACATATAAAGGGTTTGCATTGACTCCTAAAAGCAGACATTCAGGAGATCAGTAACATTTACGCGATAGTGGTCTTTCAGCCTGGAAATTTGCAAAAAGTTCACTACTTATGCCTGGACACATCTTTTTAAGAGGCCTCTTGGACTCAAGCTACTAGAACTTCTTGCACAAACAAGCTCTACAACAGAGGCTTGCAGTCTTTTTGGTCCTTTTTAGAGAAGATTTTGCAGGCGCCATAGCATTTAACTGAACACCCTTTCCTGAGGCATAAAGGCACTTTTCATGCCCATCTGATGTGCGAAATCCAGGAACATCAACACCCTTTATTCTTTCTGACAGATCTTACATCTTGAGGCCAACGGCAACTTTAAAAAAAAACAAAAATGCAAGTAGTGGTCTAAAGCTACAACAGCAAACACAAAACCTTAGTCCTAAACACTTACTATATAAAAGTATTTAGACTATTAAAAACTAGATTTGAAAGACTAGCATGGAGTAAGGTAGATGTTGGATTTTGTGATTGCTCTGGCAGTTGGATAGCGAGTAGCTGAGGCATGATTAGATGGGTGGGGTATTAATTAGAGAAGGAAGAAAAATAAAATTGTGTAATAGTTTAAAGTTGTTTCTATCTTACAGGGTCCAAAATGGACCCTTTTTTGTTTTTTGAAGTTTTTTATTCACACATTTTGTTTATGAAAATTTTTCATGTTTAAATACATTTTGTGAAACAGCTTTTTTAAAAATTGATTTTGATTTGGAAAAAAAGATCCTTTTGACAAAAACTTTGTAAAACTTCAACTAGTTCTAGCACTTATACCTCTGTCATTGGAATGTACTGCTTGAGATGCATGAGGATGCCCTCATAGGCCACCTCAATACCCTCCAATCTACTGCTCAAAAAGGTTCGTTGGCCATATAGGTAGATATGGAACTCCTACAGTGGGGGGTCTGAAAGCAAGGCATGATGGACATCAAAGTTGTTCAATATGTGGTACTCTAATTAGTTTAGCTAACTCATACTATTAACATTCCCCATATCGTTCTTACCCATCATTCCACTGGTCACTAGCTGCCTCCTCAGCTACCAGGATATCATACTCTTCAGCAGCATATTTCTCCCAGTCAGAAATCTCTTGGCTTTCATTTTCAGCATCCTGAACAGAATCAATTTTAACATTTTATTTATGCATTAAATTTATGCATAATGCATGGTATTACATTTTATATGTTTGTGTTTAACAAGACAAAGTTTACTTACCCTCAACATAGAAAATTGATCCTTCTGCTCATGGTCAAGGTATTTTTCAATGTTGAAAAAGGTATCAAAGAACACATTTGCTAACTTACACTTCTTTAAGTCATGGAGAGTAATTTTCTCTGGGAAAAGATTAAGAGACAAGTAGTAAAATATTAAAAAATAGAAACTGATTGAGCTGTAATTCATCCCTTCGCGGAAAGTGCAAATGTGTTGAAAATTTAAAAGGAAAAGAGTCACCATTTTGTTCAAGAGCTAAAAATCTGTAAGGTTATCAGCACTATTTCAGTTTAAAGTTACAATTTTCAGTAGCCTGTCTGATGGAGAGTGATTTGACATGCTCTGGGTGCCTTATATAAAGAAATTATAACAGGTCCCAATCTGCCTTAAAACTGGTTTAATGATAAACTTGAGTATTTAAAACTTCAACATTTGGTCACTGAAGCACAGGTGTTGGCCTGTGCGGGGTCACATGCAGAATTGAAGCCTATGTTTAGGGTGGTTAACTCCTTAGTTAAGATGACACATTCTCTAAACACTTATGGGTTTGAAGGGCTCCTGCTGTTTCAGAACCAGCTGGGAGCAACTTCTCAGCTGGTTTTGTGCTCTTGCTGCTGTCTTATTTATTTTCCCCACACGTACAAAAGCATAGTTCCTTTCCCATGGAGGGCTAACAATGCTCCCTGAACCCCCATGAGGCAAGTCTTCCTGGATGTCAGCGTAGCTTCTGCTGGGGTCCATCTGTCCCCAGGATTTTCCCCTGGTCCCTCACCTATTTCTCCACAACAGCTTCCCCTACTATTCTCCTGCTACAATCCCTCCGCCTGCCTCTTCCTCCTCCAGTCCAGTGAACAGCATGTTCGGCTTCAGTCCAGCTCTCCTTTCCCACTACCCCTTCCTCAGCCCTCCAGCTTCACCACACGCCAGCAAAGTGCAAGTGAGTCATTGAATTGTAACTCCCTTGCTGGACAATGGCTGTTGATGGTTGTTCAACACCCGCCCGGGTGCTGGTTAGCTCCCTTGTCCTTGTCTGTGGGGATCTAATATCTGGGCAATTCCCCAACTCACAGCATATTTTAGTGCTTAAGTCAGTTTCTTTTCAACCACATTAGACAAGTTTTGTAACCTTTAAATAGCCCTTAATTTGAGCAGGGAAGGTGGGTGGTGAGTGTGTGACTTCAAAATAATTACTATGTTCAGTGAACAAAAATTATAGGCAAGTACAACAGATTCACACTCCTGGAGACTATTAAAATCCAAGGATGTCTAAGAACGGAGTACAGGAAATCTCTTAGGAAAAAAATAAGACTACGTATAGATAATACCATAAAAAGCGTCAATAAGAAAGCATTATTGAAATTTGATTCCACAAGGAAAATTTAATAGATGCTCTGAAAGATAAGAGAACTGAGCTACTCATCCTATACCTTTAAAATAAAAAACAACAGAGAGCCAGGCCTAAATTTATGCTACAATTCTGAGACCATGCAAAGATATTTTGTGAATACATTATATGTTTGGAACTTCATGTATCTACTCTGCAAATCTGTTGGATGGAAACCAATACAAGGCTGGTTGTTACTGAAATAGGTTACAGGAACCCTAACTGTAGACAGCCAGACATTTAGACATTACTTTTGGACAGCCTGACTCATGTGTAGTGTCAAATATAACAGACTGATGGACTCCAAAGCCTTATCCTGAGCTAGAAGCCAAAGCTTCCAACATGCAACATGTGGAGCAGATGAAAGTGGCTTGAAGACGTGGGAATAAGCAGAATAAGGGATACAGATTACTGTTGCACACTTCAGTACCTTAAGGAGTTTAGAAAAGACAAGCAAAATTACTTGGATTATGGAAAACCACGGAATGGATCAGTCGCTACAGCCTGATGCCCACTTAATATTTAAGAGTTTGTGTCATCAGGAATAACATTTTCTATATTAAACTTGAGTTTCTGTAGGTTTCTTCAGCTAAGGGTCAAATTTAGGAGGATTAAAATGCAGTAAGCCCCTAGTGAATTTTAAGTGAATGTGAGCGGCTCAACTTTTTTGAAAATCAGGCCATTTTTAGGTGCCTAAATATGGATTTAGGATACTAACATTAGGGCTGGTCCACACTAACCCCCCCACTTTGAACTAAGATACGCAACTTCAGCTACGTTATTCACGTAGCTGAAGTCGAACTATCTTAGTTCGAACTTACCGCGGGTCCACACGTGGCAGGCAGGCTCCCCCGTCGACTCCGCGTACTCCTCTCGCAGAGCAGGAGTACCGGCGTCGACGGCGAGCACTTCCGGGATCGATTTATCGCGTCTAGACAAGACGCGATAAATCGATCCCAGAAGATCAATTGCTTACCGCCGGACCCGGAGGTAAGTATAGACGTACCCTTAGGCACCCACGTTTGAAAATGATTGCCCTTGTCTAAGACAAGTCATTCCACAGCTGATTGACAGAGACTAAAAGATAAGTGAACTATTAAACATTAGGTTTCTTCGTAGGAGCACAAGTGAAATGAAAAAAAAACTATAGCTGCAGTATGAAGCCTGTCAGTTAAAGTGAGACAGACAGCCCTGGGTCACAGTCAGTGACGCAGGATTTCAGTTTTTGAGTACAATCAACCTAGCTATGGGAAGGAGCATATGAATTCATATAAAGAAAAGACTAAAAAATTTTAAAATAGGTCCTCTTGATTTTAATGTGCAAAGTAATTCACTCAGCAGACTTTCATTTCACAAGAACAAACATGTTCCAGTGGAAGGACCCCTGTTACAGAACTATTAACCAACATCAGTATTTTCTGGTCTAATTTTTTTTTTTTTTTTGCGCAGAACTAGCAATGAAGATTAGGCCTAACAATCTGATTCTTACTATAAAAGCCACTGATATTCTAGGCTGATCAGTGAGCAGCTACTTCTGCTTAACTAGGAGTATTAAGCTTGATCAACTAGCAAAGGCAGATTCACAGCACAGCCCAGTGATGACCCCATAGGTCAAGACCAAATTAATCTGAGGCAGCAGAAAATAGTTATAGAATGGAAAGAAGCCCCTTACCATCACATTGTGGCTTTACAAGATCCAGCATCTGGCACAGACAGTCTTCAAAAGGCAGAGGTTCAATGGCCATGTTATCCAGTTTTTGGCACTGTTCCTCATAAAAGTACTCCAGTTCATACATAGACAATGCACCATCCCCATCAAGATCCATACAGCGAAACCAGTATTCAATGCTGAAATAAGTGATAACACTTTAACTGTTTACTGCATGAATGGGTCTTGGCAAAGTCTAAATTTTCTTAAAAACTTTTACAGACATTGGACAGCTCACAGATCCCACTGCATACCTTTAAGATCTTTAAGCATACCTAGTAGGGATTTGCATTAAGTCAAGAACAGACTATCATGATATAGCAGACTTCCGCATAAACACTTCTCTCACCAGGTGCTGACTCAGATACAATACAGGGTAAGCTATATTGTCCATTTTAAAAATACCTGTAAATTAAGTAGGTAGGAGGACCTAATTCCACCTCCAATATTTGGCCACAATTCCTAGTGAAGTCAATGGAAAGTGAAGTCATTAAGAGTCAAATTCTGGCTTCCTACAAGAGTTCACACTGAAGGACTACCTTATATTTCATCAACACCTCATAGTTCTGCTCTGTCATAATGCAGCTCTTACTAAAGTCTTTGATGCCATATAGCAATGCAGAATTTGGTTCATTATTTGCGAGCCTATCCCTACTCAGTATTAGGGTTGAATAAAATATAACCCCATAAAATAGCAGCACTACTTAGGGCAGGTCTACACTATGGCAGGGATTGACGCTCTGAGATTGATCCACCGGCAGTCGATTTAGCAGGTCTAATAAAGACTTGCCAAATTGACTGCAGATCGTTCTCCAGTCGATCCCTGTACTCTACCCCCGATGAGAATAGTAAGGTAAGTCGACGGGAGATTTTCTCCCGTTGACCTTGGGGTAACTCGACCTAAGGTACATCAACTCCAGCTACATTATTCACGTAGCTGGAGTTGCGTAGCGTATGTCGACTTATTGCGGTAGTGTACACATAACTATGAATATGGTTAACTGAGGCTATTAAAAGAGTGCTTTGAGGGGAATTAATGAAGAACCACCAAAACTGAAAAGAGAACACTGACGTAAAGAAATTTCCTTAGCCAGCTTCCTTTTACACCCTACTTTTTCTATAGATTGGTGTTGGGTTAATAACTTCCTCCTTACCAGTTCAGATACACTTTGCTTGTGCAGTGACATCAGTCTCACACATTCGGCATTATAACCTCACTATAACGTCAGAAGGGAATGAACATGTTCAAGGAAGACCTTGTTTGAAAGTAAGAGCTTTGAAAATTACCAAATCTAGTAAGAAAGAACAATTTTATATGAAGGATAGGTAGATTGTTTAAGCCTGATATATTTGAAAACGTTCCTCTAACACAAAAGGCCTCTTTAAATGAATCAGACTCAACACCTGAAAAGAGGCCAAAGAAAATCAAATGAAACATACAGATTAAAAACACTAATTAGAAGTCTTCAAATGTAAATTGCTTTGGAATTTAATGGGTCAGGTCAGATAGGTATGTTCTGCCAGTTTATAGCTAGAGGCAGTTAATAAAGCCAGTTTCTAGTTATGCTCAAGCATCAGTTAATTCTTACCTAGTTGGAGTCTTTTTGTCCTCTTCAGATATCAAAAACCAGACAAAATCAGCGTAACTAAGTTTTCCTTCTTTTTGTGCTTTTCTGCCCCTTAAAGACCAATCCAAGTATTGAAAAATGGAAAACAAGAATGAGTAAGTATTTTAAGGCACTGAAATACTGCAACAAAACTGGGACTAGACTTCACCACTGTAAAAGGGTCATTTTCATTTTGTTCATGTTAATTTTGTTAATTTTAACAAAAGCTTACATCATAGTTGAAGTTAGGGAATGCAGCTCTGGCTCAGGATCAGCAACACTCCATGTGCTGTCCCAGTCCTAACACATCCCATATGAAAGAACGGGGAAGTGATGGCACAGAGTACGGGGAGGAGGAATTCTCAGCTGGGTCTTTAAGGCAGCTGATTAGACCTCAACTGGAATAGTGTGTCCAGTTCTGGGCGCCACATTTCAGGAAAGATGTGAACAAACTGGAGAAAGTCCAGAGAAGAGCAAAAAAAATGATGAAAGGTCTAGAAAACATGACCTGTGGGAGAAGATTGAAAAAACTGTGTTTGTTTAGTCGAGAGAAGAGAAGACTGAAGGGGGACATGATGACAATTTTCAAGTACATAAAAAGTTGTTACAAGGAGGAGAAAGAAAAATTGTTCTTGTTAACCTCTGAGGATAGGACAAGAAGCAATGGGCTTAAATTGCAGCAAGGGCAGTTTAGGTTGGACATTAGGAAAAACGTCCTGTCAGGGTAGGTAAGCACTGGCATAAATTGCCTAGGGAGGGAGGTTGTGGAATCTCCATCACTGTCTAACCTGCTCTTAAAAATCTCCAAACACCTGTCAGGGATGGTCTAGACAATACTTAGCCCTAGTCCAGTCACCTGCATTCATGGCAGAAGACCTCTTCAGGTCCCTTCCAGTCCTAGGATTATGGCTGCTTAGGCAGCAAGTGGGGCTGACATTTGAATTAAAAATACAAAAGTTGCACAGCATTTTGTAGCCTAATCTGAGTGTGCTTGGAATGGAACAATGGAAGAGGGACAATGATATGTTTTGGCAAAACATATCATTGTCGCTCTTCCTTTGTTCCATTCCAAGCACTCTCGGATTGATATATATGACTGTCAAGTGATTAAAAAAAATAATCGTGATTAATTGTGCTGTTAATAATAGAATACCATTTATTTAAATATTTTTGGATTTTTTCTACATTTTCAAATACATTGATTTCAATTACAACACAGAATACATAGTGTATAGTGCTCACTTTCTATTTATTTTTTATTACAAATATTTGCACTTTAAAAAATAGAAATAGTATTTTTCTATTCACCTAATACAAGTACTGTAGTGTAATCTGTCATGAAAGTTGAACTTACAAATGTAGAATTATGTACAGAAAATAACTGCATTCAAAAATAAAACCATGTAAAACTTCAGAGCCTGCAAGTCCACTCAGTCCTACTTCTTGTTCAGCCAATTGCTAAGACAAAAATTTGTTTACCTTGCAGGAGATAATGTTGCCCACTTCTTGTTTACAATGTCACCTGAAAGTGAGAACAGGCACTGTCATGCTACTGTTGTAGCCGGCATTGCAAGATATGAATCTTTAGCACATCTGGCACGTAAATATGTCCCTTCATGCTTCAACCACCATTCCAGAGGATGTGGGTCCATGTTGATAACGGGTTCTGCTCGATAGCAATCCAAAGCAGTGCGGACTGACGCATGTTCATTTTCATCATCTGAGTCAGATGCCACCAGCAGAAGGTTGATTTTCTTTTTTGATGGTTCAGGTTCTGTAGTTTCCGCAACAGACTGTTGCTCTTTTAAGACTTCTGAAAGCACCACACCTCATCCCTCTGATTTTGGAAGGCACTTCAGATTCTTAAACCTTGGGTCAAGTGCTGTAGCTATCTTTAGAAATCTCACTTTGGTACCTTCTTTGCGTTTTGTCAAAACTGCAGTGAAAGTGTTCTTAAAATGAACAACGTGTGCTGGGTCATCATCCGAGACTGCTATAACATGAAATATACGGCACAATGTGGGTAAAACAGAGCAGGGGACATACACTTCTCCCCCAAGGAGTTCAGGCACAAATGTAATTAATACTTTTTTTAAACGAGCGTTATCAACATGGAATCATGTCCTCTGAAATGGTGGCCAGAGCATGAAGGGTCATATGAATGTTTAGCATATCTGGCACGTAAATACCTTGCAATGCCAACTACAAAAGAGACATGCAAATGCCTGTTTTGATTTACGATGTCACCAGAAAGTGAGAAGAGGGCAGCATTATCTCCTGTAAATGTAAACAAACTTGTTTGTCTTAGCGATAGGCTGAACAAGAAGTAGGACTGAGTGGACTTGGAGGCTCTGAAGTTTTACATAACTGCACTTAAAAACAAAACAATGTTATGTGACGGGGCAAGGCCAGATGGCTATAGTAAAGTAGTGGAAGACAGATATATTAGCCACAGGCTAAACAAATCCCTGTTACCAGGATAAGCAAATGGCAACTGCTTGAGGTCAATTAAGACACCTAGGGCCAATTAAGATCTTTCCAGAAGGCAGGGAGGACAGCTAGGTTGATTGGGACACCTGAAGCCAATCAGGGGCTGACTGAAACTAGTTAAAAACCTCTCAGTCAGGTGGGGGCATGTGTCAGGAGCTGTAGGACGAAGTTGTGCTGTTGGAGAGACTTTGCAGTACAAACCATATCAGGCACAAGGAAGGAGGCCCTGAGGTAAGGGTGAAGTGGATATTGAGGAAGTGGGGGCTGCTGTGGGGAAGTGGCCCAGGGAATTGTATGCGTCCTGTTTCTAAAAAGTCAGCTACCATAGCTGATACTATTAGGGTCCCTGGGCTGGAGCCTGTTGTAGAGGGCGGGCCTGGGCTCTCCCCTTCACACACACTTTGATTTCAATTACAACACAGAATACAATATATATGAAAATGTAGAAAAACATCCAAAATATTTAATACATTTCAATTGGTAGTCTATTGTTTAACAGTGCGATTAAAACGGATTAATTTTTTTAATAGCAATTAATTTTTTTGAGTTAATCGCATGAGTTATCTGCGATTGACAGCCCACATATATATGATACTTCCTGAATTTTTTGGTTTCACTTCCGTTTCATTTCTGTTCTTATGCTGCACTGATAATTACAGTTTCCAAGCAACTTTCTTTGTGTCCTATACCTTCCAAAAGAGAACTTCGATTTTTACAAAACTGACCAATTAAGAAAATAATCAGATAAGTAGCCTTGGCTTAGCACATTGTGAAATTTCTCCTGTACAGAATTCCTGTTTTTAAAGCATCTTTCTGATACCCTGCTGATGTTTAGATCTTTTTGGGAAGTCTGACAGCAACATCATGAAACATGCCCAAGCACACTTCTTCTCTGGGGCTGCCTACTGCCACTTTGGTTTCAGATTTTCTGCTACATTTACTGGTCAAGACCCCTTTGCTAGCCCTCAGGAACAGCATGCAAGAGAGATGCCAAAAAGCACTGTATGAGTGTGAAGTTGTTCGAGCAGACTGAGAATTGTTCAACTCAACTGTTTTTTTGGTCAAAAAATGCCAATTAATCAAAACTGAATTTTTCACTCAAACTTAATGGTTTTGTCATGAAGGTTTCAAGTATAGGTCAAAATAAGAGAGGCTACTCTAGAATAACCACTAGCCCAGTGGCTAGGACACTCATATGGGCTGTAGGAGACCAAGATTCAAGTCCCTGCTCTGCCTGGTTCATGCAAGTGCCCTGTCAGGGTTTCCCCCCCACACTCTGAACTCTGGGTACAGATGTGGGGACCTGCATGAAAGACCCCCTAAGATTATATTCTACCAGTTTAGGTTAAACCTCTCTAAGGCACTAATTCCTTAGATTGATATTGCTGCCACCACCAAGTGATTTATACAAAATATTCAGGGAAGGGTCACTTGGAATCCCTATCCCCAAAATATCCCCCCAAGTCCCTTCACCCCCTTTCCCGGGGAGGCTTGAGAATAAAATAGCAACCAGCTGCCTTAGCAATGTGAGCACAGACCAAACCCTTTGTCTTCAGGACACTGAAATCAATCAGGTTCTTAAAAGAAGAACTTTATAAATAAAGAAAAAAGTAAAATCACACCTGCAAAATCAGGATGGACAGTAACTTTACAGGGTAATAAAAAGATTTAAAGCACAGAGGATTCCCCTCTGGACTCAGCTTCACAATTACAAAACAGAAATGAAACTACCTCTTTAGCATAGGAAAATTCACAAGCCAAAACAAAAAATAACCTAACTCATTTCCTTGCCCTACTTACAGTTTCTGTGGTTTTAGTTGAATTATTCCAGGTATGGTTTTTGGGAGATAGTGTACCTGCTGGCTTTTCCCTCCATCCAGAGAGAGAACAACCCACAAAACAAATCCTTCCCCCCCAGATTTGAAAGTATCTTCTTTCCTCATTGGTCCTTCTGGTCAGGTGCCAACTAGATAACTTGAACTGCTTAACCCTTTACAGGTAAGGCAATCCAGTACAGCTGCCAAGCATACATAAAGGTTGCTACCATTCCCCCTAAATTCATGATATGCCCTAACCACCAGGCCATCGAGTCAGTCAGTCTCTTTCTCTCCTGTTGGAGCTGTTTCACTTTGTGTAAATCAGTAGTTTTCAACTTGTGGACCCCTGTGGGTCTGCAGACAATGTCTAAATTTCCAAAATGGCCCACACTTCCATTCGCTATTTTGTAGCGGTCCCCATCACTGGTGTAAATAGTTACATATTCATTGGGCCAAAGAGTGCGCGAGAGGCAGAATCAGGCAGAGCAGGGACTTGAATCCTGGTCTTCGATATCCCAAGTGAGCATTGGACTACTGGCTATTCTAGGGTGGTTCTCTCTTGTTTTTAAACAAAAAAAATATTTGACAGGTCCAGTTTTCATTCTGATGCAGAACTACATGTTAAAACCTCAGTTTTTCATGAAATTGAATTCTTGTTTTCTAGCCTGCCCTAGTCATCATAGCTATTCCATGAGACAGGAAATACAAATGACCATAAAAAAAATACTGAAGCTCCTATACGGTGTTGTCAAATGCACAAAGTACTCACACTTAAGATAAATTTTCTCTAACTTTAGTTATATTAACCTTATAACACTAGTAGAAAAAGATTTCAAATGAAAATTTGAGTTTCCAACTGGAGTCCCTTTAAAGTTTTAAATTGGCAAATGGAAAGATAAAATAGCAGAGAAAGCCAGGATTGCTTTTCACTTTCCTCCCAACTCAAATTAGATTTTACAAAGTAATGGTCAACATTGCTTTACCTTATTTACCAAAATCAAAGACCTTTGCACAGAGTTCATTGTGCACCAGCAACACAAAAATTCCTGTTGAAACAGTGGATTTTAAACGTTGGAGTGACAGTGCTGAATCCTTGAAATTAACTTTTGATTTTCAGTGGAACTCAACTGTTCTGTTCTAGGAACTTCATTTTCAATTTTTCATAAACAAGACTGACCATTAATTTGGATTACCTATATTTAAATCAGCATATAAAAAGTTACCTTGTTACTGCTCCTGAAAATATCCTCTCTATCATCCTGTTTGATATAGCTGTGAAAGAGAAAAAATTATTAGAAGTATTTAAAGGTCATATTTTTGTTTTATATTGTGTTTAGCTGATTAAATATTTATTGAAAACCACCTAATTACATAAATATAGAGGTATGTAAAACAAAAGATTAGCTCTCATTAATCTTTGAGTGCCCATGGATGGGACCATTTGACATATACAGCCTCCAAAATTTGGTCCAAATGGCTTTAAATTCGGACTTGAAGCACGAGTTCTAGGACAATAAATACACAGTATAATCCACTGCCTATTAGATCAGTATTTATTTAACAAGTATTGCCTTAACAAGTTAATCTTGCTTTCAAGGGTCTTTACATTTTAGAAGCCCTATAATTCATCAGAGCGCCAACCTGGAATTAGGAATTTTAATGTACAAAGATAATACTTAACTAACTGACACACAGTTTTGAGATACATGTTTTTATTCTGTTACCAATTCTGGGGTTTTACTAAAGATGAAGTGTCTTTGGTTAAATGATTGATCTTATTTGCGTAGTTTTACGGTGCTTTCTACCAGCATACTCTAAGTGTAATTTCACTACTAGAATATAAAACATATTACTAAGGAATTAATAGGCTTTAAGAGCTGTATGTTTTACAAAAGATACTTCTACATTTCAAAGTTTAATATTGGAAAAGAGAACCAGAATTGCATCTGATTAACCTAACCATTGAAACCTTTCATTTCAAAGTAAACCCCCTCACCAATGCTTCTGTAAAAGGCTAACTAGTCATACCTTGTCCTGTAGTATATATTTGTTTTTGCTATCACCAAACATTTCATAGATTCATAGATTATAAGGCTAGAAGGATCACTGTGATCATTGAAGTCTAACCTCCTGTATAACACTGGCTATAGGATTTCCTTGAATTAATTCCTGTTTGAACATATCTTGCAGAAAAACATTATGATGTTCTAAGGCAGTGGTTCTCAACTGGGGATACAAAGAGGTCTTCCAGGGAGTACATCGACTCATCTAGGTATTTGCCTAGTTTTACAACAGGTTACATGAAAAGCACTAGCGAAGACAGTACGAACTAAAATTTCATACAGACAATGACTTGTTTCTACTGCTCTATATACTGTAGGCTGAAATGCAAGTACAATATTTATATTCAATTGATTTTATAATGATATGGTAAACATGAGAAAGTAAGAAATGTTTCAGTAATAGTGTGCTGTGACATTTTTGTATTTGTCTGATTTTGTAAGCAAGTAGTTTAAGTGAGATGAAACTTGGGTACACAAGACAAATCAGACTCCTGAAAGGGGTACAGTAGTCCAGAAAGATTGAGAACCACTGTTCTAAGGGACACCAGCAACCTATTCACTATTTATTCCCAGAACTGGGAGACACTCAGCTAGTTTGCTTCAGGGGAAAAAAGGCATGATACAGCTGAAAGCTGAGATCATAAAAATTAGAGAGGGAAGAGACCTGTTAGGCTATCATATCAATACCCCTTCCACGTCAGTATTTTTCCTTGCAATGTGTATGAGTGCTTGGTCTAGTCTAATTTTAGACTGACAGCAACAAGGAGACGGCCACTCCCTGTGGGAGACAACTGCGCCATTGAAGACATACCTTGCTTTACCACCTGCTTTTTAAGTGTAGGGCCAAAATTTTCAAAATGTGTGTCCAAAAGTTACGCTGTGAAGTCCATATTTAGGCACCTAATAGGTAGTACCTATTTTCAAGAGTGCTGAGCACGCAGTGTCTCCTTTTGATTTCAACTGAACTTAATGGGAATGGCAGACATGCAGCAGTACTCAAGATCGATCCCTTCAAGCTGCTTGCACCCATATTTCCTACTGTTCATGTTTAAACAGCTGTTACTTTTTCTTCCTGTTAAGAATGAGGAGGGAGTCATCTATAATATGTGATCAAACTTGCTTTTGCCTTTGCTGGTTTGTTGGTTCAAATGATCGTGACCAGCAGAAAAACATAAAAGTGTTCTCCTTCCTGAATGAAATATTGACTAAAAAGTAGTTAGACTTGAGTAGAAGCAACCCTAGGAAAAAATATTTCCCTTCTGTAGGGCAATCAGAATGATGCCCGGATCTTTTTCACTATGTGGGAGAGCAGGGCATATCAGATTTTGTTTGGAAGTGAACTTTCCAATCCTGAGAGGAATGATTCCTTAAGATAACAATAGATGCACAGCCTCTGACAAAGTACTTCCAGAGCAGCTGCAAGATGTAAAGAGATATTTAAATTAGGCTCTTGGACAAATGTGCAGGATTACTGAATCCAAAACCACTGTAGAATTTGTGAATGCAGAACAGCGTGTAGCTGCTAGATAGTCTTAAAACTGCATATGAAGTGTGGTATAGCTTTTCAGTTAACTTTTACTTATGTTCTTAAAGTTAGACTGTTAAAAGTTGTTCCGTGTGTCATACCATGATCATTATGCCGGGCTCAATCCTTTGGATCAATATAGAGGTCATGGTCTGTATCCAGCTCCCAAAATTTGCAATAGATGACATAGAAGTGCTCATAAGAGAAGTACTCTGTCAGCTGGTTAATATCCGCTTCTTCTTCCAATAAGAGGGAGGCCGGTGGGGGACAGCTGAGAGCCCTCGACTGAATAACATTTAATAGTGTGGGCTGCATCCATCCGTATGGGGTTTGTTTCTGTCGGGGTAGGGCCAAGCGGGGGGGTCGCCGTCCTGGCCCTGGGCGAGGCCCCCTCTAGTTTGTGATGGGCTCCAGCGGGGGCTTCTGGATCATGGACATGGAGTGGAGGGAGATGACGGCTTGCAGGAGCCGCTGCCCAGCGCTGCTGCCACAGCGGGGCTCTTCTCGCCCAGACACCGGCTGGCCACGTAGGCGCTGGCCGAGGTGGCCGAGCCGGGCTTGCGGAAGTTGGGGAGGTGGTGGAAAGGCCAGAGGCCGGAGAGCAGGCAGGGCCGGTACAGGGAGAATCGCGGGGAGCGCTCAGCCTGGCACGGCGAGGGCAGCTGATGGAGGCAGCCGGCAGAGATCAGCTCGGGGGCCTTGGCTTCCATCTTGGCTCGGGCGGGGAAGGCGTCCTGTGCAGAGGAGGCGCGAGGGCCTGCGGGGGCTTTGGTTCCCTTGGCGGCTCCCTCGGGAGGCTTGGCCGAGCTCTCCAGGTCTGGCAGCAAAGAGACGGAGTCTCCGCTCTCGCCTGCAAAGGAAGCAGCAGGGATAGAGGGGCCGGTGTCACGTTCCCCTGGCTGCAGGGCGAGCTCCTGCGGGGTGCCCAGGGGAGGGGTGGGGGTCGGTGTCACGTTCCCCCGGCCGGCCGTGGGGCTATGACCTGTGGGGTGCCCGGGCGGGGGGGGGGTACTCCTGGTGCTGCTAGCTGAGGAGCTGTTCAGGGGGGTGGCTCTTTTCTTTGGGGCGGGGACACCGCTGGGCAGCAGTGCTCAGTTCAGATGGGGGGCTGGGGGGGCTGCTGGCTCCTGGAGGGGGGAGCTGAGCCCCCAAGGGGCGCTACTGCTGGCCTGGGGCTCCTTGGCTCGTCACAGAGCCAGACTGTTACATTAGTGTAACAAGCTGGGTTGGAACGCTGCCCCCCAGACCTCACGCTGCCCTGGCTCCATAGCATCGTGTCCCTTCTAGAGCAATCGTCACTCCCCGGGGGAGGGGGGGTCTGAAGATGGACAGGAATCCCTCCCCCACGGAAATGCAGCCCCCTCTGCGCTGGAGCACTGCAGCCAGGTGGGTGATTGGCACAGCTGGGGAGGGGACGGGATATTTTGGCCAAGAACTCCGGAATGAATCCCAGGGGATTTTTAATAACCACATAGAGCCCTCACCTCAGGGAGTTCACACAGGAATGCGCGTGGGACTGAATGTATCTGCGACCAGGGAGTTTAAGGCAAACCTGATGCTTAAACCACTCGTCACTCAGTGAGAAGTGTATGAAAGGAGCACAGGGCTGGGACCCAGGGTACCCCTTAGCTGGCGCAAAGGACAACTAGTAGAGTTCGTTACCTCTATTTCCGGCTCTCTTACAGACTTGATCTGTGGCCTTGGGCAAGTCCCTGCCTCCATTTCTGCCTCAAATTCCCCATCTGCACTTAGCCAGGGCTGTGAGAATTAATTCGTTTGCAAAGTGCCTGGGCTGGATTTCCACCAGTGATCAGGAGGTGAAGGGCTCTAGGCTTCCACGCCATTGAGAAACCTGAAATACTTTGCTCCTGTGGCCTATGAGCCTATCGCATAGGAGTGGACCCTAACCCTAAATAACACAATGGGAACTGGATGAGCAAATGAACTAACTGGCTACACTGGCCATCCAAGGGCTAGTTCTGAAATAACTCGGGAGCAAGCGTCAAGGATTTAGTCCCAAGTAGCCTGTGGACACATGCAGGAGGGAACTGAGGATTTCCTGTTGCACAAATATCAACACGGTGGTTCCCCCAGGGAGTTTGCAATCTAGGCCTGGTCTACACTAACACCCCAATTCGATCTAAGGTACGCAACTTCAGCTACGTGAATAACGTAGCTGAAGTCGACATACCTTAGTTCGAATTTACCGTGGTTCAGACGCGGTCCACACGCGGCAGGCAGGCTCCCCCGTCGACTCCGCGGTACTCCTCTCGCTGAGGTGGAGTACCGCAGTCGACGGCGAGCACTTCCTGGTTCGAATTATCGCGTCCAGACCAGACGCGATAAATCGAACCCGGAAGTTCGATTGCCAGCCGTCGAACTACCGCGGTAGTGTAGACATACCCCTAGAAGACAAACAAAAAGGCAAGAAGCACTTGGAGACCTGGGAGAAGGAAACAGATCTATTTATTTCGACCCCTTTTTGACCTGAGTGTCTAGTCAATGTTCAGGGCCCCGGGCCAGGATGTTCCAGTTGGAAGTAGAAATTGGTGAAGTCTGGTATTTTCTTCAATGCAGGCTTGACTATGCAAAGCCCCGGGTCTCTGAATGCAGAAGGAAGGAAGAACAAGAGGAGCAGTTTCTTGGCTCTCTCGCCAGCTTTTGCCACGGTCATGCTGTGCTCAGAGGCTGCTGCTCAGCGTTCTCGCTTTCTGCCTCTCCCTCTGTTCTTGCCTGGTCTCCGCTTCTGTGTCTTCACTCACACACACACCTGGTCACAATCAGGCGTGACGGACGCTCCCTAAAAGTGTGGGGGCCACCGGCGCCCGAACCTTGGCCCCACCCCCCACGTTGCCCCTTCCCCCCCAACCCTCTGCCCCCGTGCCACCCCTTCCCCCTGAGCTCCTGCCCTCACATTGTCCCTTCCCCCAAGACCTCGCCCCCCCTTACATCTCTATGCCCCCCATCGCTCATCCTTATGGCCTGTAAAAAGTGATGGGACCATGGCCCCCTGACCCCCCCGTTCAAGCACCCCGGTCACACTACCCACTGGACTCCCCTGCCCGCATGGTGCTAGTTTCTGGACAGACTGGAAGAGGCCCTGTGTTAGGTGTGGCCCCTTAACCCCCTCTCCCAGGTATTTGAAATGAAGGGCATATTCACACATCCGTTCAAATGAGGTTTTAACTCAACCCTTAACAAGGTTTTACCCAGCTCATCCAGCCTCCATCGCCCTTGTTACATTTTTCAGACAAGCCCCTTTGTGCTTTCTCCCGTGCTGCCCCATAAACATCCGCAAAAGTACCTCATCATCCTACTTCAACCCCCCACACCCTCCCCGAAAACCCCCCTTTGCCATGGAGCTTACAGGAAGCTGGAGGGAGGCTCGGCTGCTGATGTGCTCAGACACTGCCTGCCAGGCTGACCAGTGTTTCCTCGTGCTCCCCCCGGGTCGCTCTGTACCCAGCTGTTGTCTCTTGTCTTATCCTTCCATTTAAGCTCTTTGGGCAGGGACTGTCCTTTTGTTCTGTATTTGTCCATCCCTGGGTCTCCTAGGTGCTATGGGAATACACATCCTAGTCATTCATAACACTAGCGATCATCTTCTCAGTGGGGTCACCTTGGGGTTTGGGGCCTTGCAGAGGACCTGGATCTTTGCCCTTCTCAGAAGAAAGCGTCCGTTAACCTCCCAACAGTGGGGACAGATGATAACATCTCCAGTGTGGGGCTGGGAGCCTACCCGTGGGGAGACGGCTGCTCCACCGCTCAGTGAGAGGGCCGGCTCCTCTGGGCAGTGAGGGGAAGGCTATCTAGGTTTCTCCAGCAAGTGGCACAGATGCATTTCTCTCACCTATTTGTAACCAGGCTTCTGTGCATCCCCACAGACTCTCAGTTTTATTGCAGTATTTCCCAGCCCTGTCGCTCCTGCAGTGCTGGACCACGCAGGACTACAAATGCAGTTGGGTTCTCTCTTCTTCCTCCCATCCTCCCGCTCAGGAGCTGCTCAAGACCCAAACAAACTGATGGCAAGAAATGGGAGCTAGTGAAGGAGCATCTTCTTGCAGCTCGCTGGTGAGTTAGAGCTGTCCCTTACCTCCGTCCTCTGTCCCAATACACAGCGAAGCCAAGCTGCTGTTCTCTATGCTGCAGGGTTGGCCAGGAAGCGGTCAGTGGGAATTGATTTAGTTGGGATAACAAAGTTCACCAAGAGTCAGTGATGGGGAAAACAGAACACAACGTTACATGTAACCAGTAGTAACCCAGTCAGGATGGAGAACACTGCTTAATGCACAACGTGTTCCGTTCGGGCGCTTGTCCGTCTGGATGCTCACAGGAGGCGCTGGTGCTGTCTCTCCCTTTCTTTCACAGTCAGGGAGCATGCTCACAGGGAGCGCGTTTTGCAGCTGGCTGCTGTGAAGGGGACAGCGAGTGTCATGAGCATCTCAGTGAGGGGCTGCGTGTGCTCTGGTGGGTAGAATCTGGGTGGACAACACATGTGATGGCCAAGATTTTAAAGTGACTTGGGGGGCCCAAATTGAGACTCCTTAAAAGGGCCTGATTTTCAGAGAGCGCTGTATAAAACCAGGCCTCGAGTTGGGCACCCAAAGTTTATGGTGTGATGGTGAGGGGAGAAAGAGCTGCAGCAATGCAGCGTATGATGGGCCAGGGATAATGAAGAGGCTGCAGCACTATAGATTTTAGGGATAACCTGTAGTGCGAGAGAGACAGTGGAGAAGCTATGGGAGGGGATGATCATGGGAGGCCACTGGGGATGCTGGGATGGACACTGCAGGCAGGTTGTATTTGAGCTTATCTTATTTGCATATGCTGAAGGTGAGGCTTGTGCCCACCGTGGACTCACCACCACCTCCTCTTCCTCCTCGCTCTCTAGGATTTGCACACTGAGGTTGTCTCTGGGCATGCAGGAATTAGGGTGCAGGTAGCAGTCTGGGGGGTGATGCAGCAGGTAGATGAGCGACAGCCAGCGATCAAAGAGAAGCTCCTGCTCCCCCGGGGAGGCATAAAGCTGCAGGTAGTAGGAGCGTCTGTTGATCAGCTTGAGCTTGATGCGCTGCCGGTCGGGATCGTGAACGGAGATGCGCACAAACTTCAAGGGCAAGAGCCTACAAGGAAACCCCAGTGTGAGACCAGATGGTGCCGCTTCGGTGAGCGTCTGCCCCCATCACTGTGTGGAGGAACTCAGACTGCCGAGGGAAGAGCCTGAGTGGAAATGCATGGGGAGTATGCTGGGGCCGTGCCTTTGGCTTAGGAAGAGACTCCAGGAGCCATTTCTCAGCCCAGCATCCACCAGTATC